TGGTGGGTTTGGTCAGATTTGATTGGATTTCATTTGGGTTTTCTCTATTCTCTCATCTGGGTTTTCTTTTTTCCGAGCTGATTCTCTCTCTATATTGTTCTTGTTCTTTCATGGTAGTCAATGTAGCGAATGGAGAGAGAAAACAATGGTATGAGAGCGTAATGAGATCTGTTTTCATGGGTTAGTTTCACTATCTTCAATCTGTATTTTTCTTTGATTACCAATCTTAGAGTTTTTTCTCTCTTCTGGGTGTCGAAAGTTTCTGCATTTTTGTGATGGTGGTGTGAAATGACTGATGGAAATCCTGTTCCGATCAGTGTTGGATTCTTTCGGCTTAATGCCGCGTTTTCGTTGTAATTCTCTCTAGTTTTCATGGTTTTCGATTTTTCGGGCATTGAATATCTTGATTCATTGAATCCTTTGGGATTGGAATGACAATGGCCGAAAGGAATGTTTCTTCCCTCGCTGTCATTGCTCGGAAATCTTTGTTCGTCTTATTTATAGTTACATCGACACTCTTCATATTTTCTTGGTTCTTTGTGTTGCGTTCGACGGGCATGCCTCGCTTCATTGACCATAAACTGTTACCCAATTCCAAACTTAATGCCTGTGATTGGCAGCCGGAGTTCTGGAAGTGAGAATCAAAAGGATGTTGAACCCTCAATTGGGAATCGAGCAATCCTTGTGGATAATGAGGAAGAAGAAACGCCATCATCTTCGTCCCAAGAAAAAGAAGCGTCCCAAGCTAACAATGGAGTAAAATGTAACACCAATGAGAACGTAGTTCTTCTCAAGGTGTTCATGTATGATTTACCCCCTGAATTTCATTTCGGACTCTTGAATTGGAAACCCGAAAGTAGTAGCGTTTGGCCTGATCTTCAAACTAAAATACCTGCTTATCCCGGCGCGTTGAATCTGCAACACAGTATAGAATACTGGCTGACATTGGATCTCCTTGCTTCAGAACTTCCCAACCCCCCAAATGCTCGTACTGCAATAAGAGTGCGCAATGCTAGCGAAGCTGATATTATTTTTATACCCTTCTTTTCTTCCTTGAGCTATAACCGATTCTCCAAGATAAACCCGCACGAGAAGAAGAGCAAAAATAAGGTGCTGCAAGATAACTTGGTTAAGTATGTGACGGCTCAAAAGGAATGGAAGAGATCAGGGGGAAGAGACCACTTAATTGTGGCTCACCATCCGAATAGCCTTTTAGACGCGAGGATGAAGCTATGGCCTGCAACATTCATACTTTCGGACTTTGGGAGGTATCCTACAAACTTAGCAAATGTGGAGAAAGATGTCATTGCCCCCTACAAGCATGTAATCAAATCCTATGTGAACGACTCCTCTACCTTCGATAGTCGGCCAACCTTGCTGTACTTCCAAGGTGCAATATATCGAAAAGATGTACGTATTCTCTCTCCTTTAGCTAATGTTTTTTTTCTTCTTTATTTCCTTTTCTGTGCCTCACAATTGTGTTAATGCTGACTATCAAATCTGAACGGATCAAGGTTAAATCTAGATACTTTCTAAAGGAATTTCCTTTTACATACATGCTTTTTCGATGTAAAATCAATAATATCTAGTTCTATATCTGCTTGTGTTGCAGTGGTCAAGAAACCAATCTTAGTTGATAGATTTACGTATAAATTCTGCATTTTTACTTTGTACTTGGGCGCTAGATATGGCATAATACACAGCGGAGGTGATTCAAGATTTGAGATTTACATGTTAACTTGCTTGTATGGTTTGCTAGATATGGCATAATATGCAGAATGCAACATAAAACGTTTGAACGTTTTCATCCTTATTTTAAATAGTTTGCTTATTCTTTTAAGCTTCCTTTCTTGGGAAGTTTCTCTATAAAATTCGTGACAACTATGTTTGTCTTTTATTCGGCACATGAAAATGTGTTTGATTTTTCAAAGTTCTTAACTTCATCGTATTTTCAGATGTTGAGTCGTGAAAAGGAGTGTTCTTTGTGGTTTTGTTTGTTTAAAATGTTTGAAATTTTGTTATCTTAGAGAAATACAGATATCTATGTTCTGCATCACTTCCAAATTAATGTAATGGGAGAATTATAGATGAAACTATGCCCCTTGTGTCGGTTAGTATTCTTTCTCAGTTTGATTTTCATTTCGTTATGAAATTTGAAACAATACTTGGTAAAGATTTGCCGATATTCATCTTCTATTGTTAATTTCAGCTCACAATTTGGTTCTGCTGTTTTCTTCCTTTTCTGTTTTTTTTTTCCGTACTGTTAGGCTGGGTGTTCCTCGGTGGATCCCTAATTTCTATCGGTTAAGGTTTGCTATGGGACACACATGTGCACAGAAGAAAGAACATGTACCCTTATTGGTTAGAGGGTAAAGAAATACCGAAAAATTAGTTTGCGAATCTGATATGTTCTTTCTTCTGAGTGTTAGCCAATCAAAACATGATCTTTCACCTCTACCTTTATTTGGTTCGTTCATTCTGTTTATGTTGTCAGCTTTTGCCTTGTTTCCTTCTCTGTCTTTGATTTTCTGTTGTCTAGGCTGTTTGTTCATCCCTAATTCATGGCTCTTGACTTTCTGGTTCTACATTTTCAGGGTGGCTTTGTTCGGCAAGAGTTATTCTATCTTCTACAAGGAGAAAAAGATGTACATTTTACATTTGGGAGTGTTAAAAAAGATGGAGTTAACAAGGCTTCCCAGGGTATGCACACCTCCAAATTCTGCCTCAACATAGCCGGTGACACCCCATCATCAAATCGTCTCTTTGACGCTATTGCTAGCCACTGCGTCCCTGTCATCATCAGTGATGAGATCGAACTCCCATACGAGGATGTGCTTGACTACTCTGAGTTCTGCATATTTGTTCGAACAAGGGATGCTCTTAAGAAGAATTTTCTCGTAAACCTCACCAGGAACATTGGGAGGGACGAGTGGACGCGAATGTGGAAGAGGTTGCAGGAGGTTCAGAAATTTTATGAGTTTCAGTTCCCGTCAAAGGAGGGCGATGCTGTCCAGATGATATGGCAAGCAGTTGCTCGCAGGGTTCCGGCTATCAGAATGAAGTTACACAAGTCTAGACGATTCTCCCATTCAATTTCTCGCGAGGGGAAGGGGGTAAGCAGGATACCATCACCAAGTAACTTCTGGTAAGAAAGCGGAATTAACACTTTGTGGCTCTGCAGCATTTCTGACTCTTAACACCACACAGGACTAGAATTATCAAAATATTTTAAATTGGATAAACTACACGAAAAATCATTGTCAAAATATCTTCATTTGTTCTAATACTAGGAAATTAAATTGGATAAATTTAGTTCTACCCCTCCGAAATCAATATGTTCTTCGCTTGTTGTACTCAGGATAGAATTCAGTTGTAGTCATGTTTCGTTTCTAAAGAAAACGTTGTAAGCTGAAACCTTTCTCGTCGAATAATTGGTTCGAACAGAAATGGTCATCTGTAAACTCATCATCTATTCATCTGCTCACTTGAATTCCACAATATAATACACATGTCGTACTCCCGTTATGTCGTTTCGTAGCAACGACTGGCAAAATGATCGTTTAGCTGATCGTACCGGTGAAAGGGTTTGCATTTCTTGCCAATTTGTATGATTTTTCTGGGTTTTTTTTTTATTTTTTATTTTTTTTTAATTTTTTTGCCTTACAGGGGACTCTCTGTTCTGTTTGGCCAAACTAAGAGAGGAACTGTGGTCTGTTTTTCCAATTTGCATGAAAAGACGAAAGTGTGTTAAGAAATAAAAGTTGGTGGTCAAATTTACACGCATTAATGGTTTGAATCTCACATTACCGTCAAATTGGAGCACCATATGCTATTTTTCATTTTGAAAGCACTAAAAAAAAATCGTCTATGGTCCAACTTGAATTGGAAATTTTGATTTTGACTTTCCAATCCAATATTTTTCGACTTTGTAACACCTGAATCAAATCCAATGCCCAAAACTTAAAAAGAATTAGAACGAAATTGAAATATATTTAAAAATTTTCGAAATTCATTTGGTCCAAAATATGTTAGGTTTACTAGTGTTAGATGACGGATAATTGGATGGAGACCTTAATCATAGAATGCAAACTGGATGGATGAAGTGAAGAATGCATCAGGTGTGTTGTGCGATTGTTGTATGTCACTAAAAGCTCAAGGGAAAATTGTATAGGACATCAATAAGGCTAGCAATGCTTTATGGCACGGAATGTTGGGCGGTGAAACATCAACACGTACACAAAGTGACTGTAGCGGAGATGAGAATGCTTCGTTTGATGTGTTGCACAAGAGAAAGGACTAGATTAGGAACAAGGATATCCGAGGTAAATTAAAAGTAGCCAAAATTTAAGATAAGATGAGAGAAAATCGGTTAAGATGATTTTGACATGTGAAACAAAGACCTACAAACGCTCCTATCAGAAGATATGATTACGAAACAGAGGCTCAAGGCCAAAGGAGTAGAGGATAACCTAGGAAGACTTGGAAAGAGACTCTAAGAAAAGACTTGGACTACTTGGATCAAACGGAAGACATGCCATAAAACCAAGCGTAGTGACATTTTAGAATTCATATAGTCAACTCTACTTTATGGGATAAGACTTTGTTGTTGTTTTACTCATATTAAATGATGATGTGGACAACTGTGAAAGCAAGTTTTTACTCTTAAATCATCTATGGCGCTTTGAATCTCCAAATCAACGCAGTTTAACTAAACAAATTTATGGCTTGATTAGACTAAAACAAATTAATTTGAGGAATTAGAGCTCCAAAAACAATGATTAGTAAATACCAACTTTAGTATTTGTTCATGTCATCATTTAACGCTATAAATATTATCACTTAATGTTGATAAAGTGATTAATTAATACCAATGACCTCGATTATTGGAATATTTTAAAAGTTAAATCTAATTCAGAATCACCCCAAAAAAAGAAGGGAGTGACAGTTTTGTCCTCTATTTGGGTAGTTTACTCCGAGCCTCCACCACACAAATGTGGCCAAAAAATATGGTTGTAAAGTCTTAGAAGTCTGAAAAACCTTCTCCAGAAGTTATAATCCATCCATGGCGTTTCCATCTGCTGCCACTCCCACTGTTTTATCTCCCTCGTCAATCTCAAGCCGTCCGATTCGACACTCTCATCTCTTCCCTTCTCAAACCAATCCAATAACTATTACCTGCAGCTTCTCTTCTCCCTCCCCATGCAGCAACACAAGGTCAATCCTAGTACCCACCAGCAGCCGGTACTACTGTTGTTTTCGGGTTTCATATAGATTTTCCGGTGCCGGTGAAGGTGAGGAGGAGGACGACGAAGAGGAGGAGTGTAGCTTTGATGAAGCCGTTGTGCTGTTCAACACAAGGGAATACTACAAGTGCCATGACTTTCTCGAATCGCTTTGGAACAATGCTGAAGAACCGTCCAGAACTCTTATTCATGGCATTCTACAATGCGCAGTGGGATTCCATCACCTATTCAATCAGGTTGATAATTCTTACAACTGATTGAGTGAGCCTACTGTTGTGTATTTATATACCGCTAAACAGTTAATAAGTTAATATTGCGCTAACTTTTTGTTCAGGTTCATTCTACATATTACAAAATTTATAACTTCCATTTCTTTTTTCAATATGCGTTGAATTTAGAGAGTTATTATATCATATCCTATATATATATATGTATGTATGTATGTATGTCTATATATGCTTACAAATTGATTAGTTACACTTGGGTTTTGTTGTGATGAAATAGAACCATAAAGGAGCGATGATGGAGTTGGGAGAAGGACTTTGTAAGTTAAGAAAGATGAATTTTAAAAGAGGATCACCATTTCATGAGTTTGAGCAAGAAATCTCTGCAGCCCTGGATTTTATTTACCAAACGCAGATAGAGTTAGCTGCCTGTGAGTTGCTTTCTTATCCCAATTATTCATATCAAATCCAATTTAATTTATTTAATTTACCATGGTGAGCTAGTTTGGAAGTGCTGTGTCTTTTTTCTTTTCAAAATTGTTTTTGTTATTCTGTGAAAATAAACATGTGGAAAGAAGCAAGTAAATGTTCTGTAAACTGTGGTGTGAAAAGTGTTTTTAGCCAAAAAAAAAAAAAAAAGATTGTCAATATGAAAGTTTCATTAGTTGATTAAAAAAAAAAACCACTTTTTTGATAAGCATTCTTAGAGCTGCAATGTTTTACGCCCATGATTTTGAAAAAATAAAAATATAATAATAATAATTTCTCACTTACCAAACACAATTTTAAGCCCAACCTTTTTTTCAAAAAGCTATTTAAAAATAAATAAATAAATAAGCAACCCCAAACCCACCTGGTAAATTAAGAAAAAAAATGATTATTTTGGTCCATGCACCGCCCAGTCCACCTAGTTGTGATTAACCTATTGTCATCGTATAATGTCATAATCGGAACTATTTATTTCTTTACCTATAATTTACTAATTATCTTTGAAAAAAAAAAAAAAACACAACCAAATTGATTGTTTCATTTGTATGTATCAAATAGATGAATAGTTCATTAATCAACATGAAAATCTCAAGGGTGGTGCTATCTATATACCCATTTTTCCCTCTCACACATCTTTCTCAATTTCCGGCTGTCGAATCAAATAAATTGAAAAAATCAATGGACAAAAATTTAACAAGGGTGTGTGAGAGCTAAAATGGAATGTGTGAATAGTACTACCCAAATCTCAATCTTCATTTAATGATCATCTTTGCAAAAATCAACCAACTTGAAGAACATTTAAGTCATTCATACATATCAACCAGATCAACAATTCAACAATCAACGTAAAGATTTTACTTATCATTTGAAGATCATCTTTACGAAAAGTATTTTTACATAACTTTTACTTATTTTGATTTGGTTCTTATTTTGATCTGGTTAGGTACGGATGAAGTTTGTGTTACAATGGATCAATCAGAGAGATCATACCAACTTCTAGGCCGGTATGGTGCAGGTCAGCTACTATATACCCTCCAAAGGGACCCTAATTCTAATCAATTTATGTACAATATTGTCTTCTCCCCTCACACCTCTTATGGGAGTGAGCCACTAAAGGTCAAGCTTCCTACCCTTAATGCAACCACACAACATCTCTTGGCCTGTGAATACAACTGATTCTTCAAGTGGTGGATCACTCTGGTTGATAACGTTGTCTTCTTTAGCTAACTTGCGTTTTGCGTTCAAACGCTTTCCTTTCTTTAGCGTAGTTTAGTGTAATAATATCACTTGTAATTAAAAAACTTGAGAGTTTGCTTGGAAGTGCTTTTAAAATGACTGAAAGTGCTTTTGGTGAAAATGCTTTTAGAACCAATCATTTGTAAAAATGCTAAGTAAATTCTGAAAATGAACTTCAAGTGTTTTTGGAACTTAAAAAATATTTTCTCTAAAAATACTTTCAGTCATTTAAATAACAATTCCAAACAAGCCATGTCTTTGTTTTGAGACTACCATTCCATTTGTTGTTCCTTGGTCACTTGAGAATGATGCAAAAAGTGTGAGAAAAATAGAGGGTTTAAATTTCTAAATTTTATTTGCATAGAAATAAGGGTTTTTGTTCAATTTTCAAAGGTTGTGAATCTTTTATCTCCAAACATAAATGGAAATTGCCTCAATATTTTGCTAACGAAATGCAAATACTTCGAGTCTCAAACAGAAAAATGCAACATCGAGATAGGTAGCTTTAGGACTTGAACATTCCGTAATCCTCATCAGATTTATTTAGCTAATCAGTAAACACGATTTTATGAACTGCACAACCGTCTGTAAAATATATTTGTAACACTTACAATACAAAGAACGTTACTCGCCTACATACGAATCAAGTTTCCGGAATAAAATTACAGACTTCGATGCTAGGCAATACAAAATGTGACTACAGAAGTCAGGCCTAAATCTTGGACCATGGAAAAACCAAATGATACCTCAACAACCATCGACTGTTTTGAGAAAGCCAAGCAAAACTTACATAAGCTGTTGCTGATAAAATCCCGTCAACGCATACTGTCAGATGACTTCTCCTTCGTTTTTACCGGAACATCTCTGTACATTTTCACTTGTTCCATCAAAGTTTCCCGCCGCGGTATTGCTACCTTGTTATTTGGATCAAACAGAAGAACTTCTTCAAATGCCTTCAATGCAGCCTTAAAGTCTTTCCTCTTTTCATACGCATCACCTAGGTTGTTCCAAGCTGTGACGTAGCCTGGCTGAAGCTTCACAGCAGTTTCAAACTGCGTAATTCCCTTAGCAAGTTTACCCTCACGAACGTAACTGACACCAAGGGCATTGTAAACCTATTCAAATATATAACATGTCAAAAGCCACATCAGAAATTCATAAGCCAAGCACGAAAAGATGATGCCAAAAAAAAAAAAATATATATATATATATATTATACAATTCAAATGGTCTTAATTTTCATTCTCGTTTCCCCAGGTATTTATATGTGGTTACCTTTTAGACAGGGTGGATACAGATTAAATTTCAAAACTATGTCAAGGCTACATAGACTACAAAATCATGTGTAATCGGGATGTGGCAACACCCTTAACATTCACCAACACATACAACAACACTGAAAATGCATGATTCAGAATGCCAATTAGTGCCCCTTCAAGGCATGCAATTCTGAGTACACATGATCCACAACTACAAGTTACTGGTATTTCAAAGGGATTAAGCATGTACAATGGAACCAAGTAACAAGGATTCCAATGCCAAAAATGTTTAAATTGGAATATAACTATCAAATAGTCACAAGTATTTTTATAACACCATTCTAAAGCCATCTATTTGTTGGATTCAGTATGATGTGCTTTAGACAATAGAAGTGCAAATATATCCTGAGAATTCATCATACCTGAGCAAGATCTTGGTCGTCCCCATCCCATTTCTCAATTGCCTGAACCAAGTACTTAATAGCAGCTGGATAAATTTTCCTCCTTAGCATTACTGCTCCAAGTTCAAAAAGCTCAGTCGCATCAGCATCGCCAGCTTCTTACTTGCTCCTGGTATTTAGATAGAAAAAAATTATAGTGTGAGTAACCAGTTGTAGACAGCCTCTGTCAAATGTCTATTACAGCAGGCAAACATTAAAGAATTAATGTCTTTATGTAGTCCTTGTAATTCAGGTAGGATGTGTACTAAGTGTCTAGGTTGGAGCAAAGTGTTAGGTACGACTGTTAATCAACAGTGTATAATGAAAAATGCAGGCTCATACCTGCAATTCTTTGGCAGAAAGATCAAGTTCTCTACGTACAAGCACTTGACGAATCACAAAGAAAGTTCCAACCCCAAGAAAACCTAGCAATAGTAGCAAGTATGATAGCTGGATTCCTAATTCAAATAACTCCGCTGTCTCATAAATTGCGTTTGGTTTGATAATATCACGTGATTGTGCCATTGGAGTAGAAATCAGCCATAAGCTTTGTCCAACTAAGAATGCAGATACCCATGCAAATGGCCTCTTCATGAATTTAATATCCTTGGTAACCAAAAGGATCCCACAAATTTCTGCAATAAAATGATGATATCACAAAGATCATTCCCAACGACCAAGTAAAAAGTATTTAATAAAAAATAAAATAAAACCGGAGAAAGGAAAAAAAAAAAATTAAAAATTGTGTATTGTGCACAGAACTTGAATTCTAAATTTCATATAACCCATAAAGACACAATTATACATGTGTTGTGTAATGTAAACTACCATAACAATGAAAACAGATAGGCAGTGACTGGCAGTCACTAATTATTTATAGTTTTACTCAACGCTCGTGATCCACACAATGAAACATTTAGGGTATATAATGATATCATGTTGAAGAAATTCGAGCGGTCCATAAAATTTATCAACTTGTATCATGTCTATGTGAAGATCAATATTTGTGGTGAATAGGAAATTACTCTCCAAAACTGTTGAGGCAGGAGTTTCCACTGCTAGTTCTCCACCGAGTATCTGCCTTCATCCACGATTGAACAACATATTAGTAAAAACAACTGTTAACGAAACTTTGACTAAGAAAGCCATAAAACTATCTTATAGATGTTTTCTAATCAGGCGTTGTAAAGAGCCACTGTCATAAAAAAATGTCTAGACTATCATCTCTTTAGATTTTTTTAGAAGAATCACAACACAAAGGAGAAGACATACGATTGAAACGCAATATGATAGTCATATTAGTGAATAATGCTTCGTAACAGATAAAAATCTGACCTCTGCATACATCTGTTTTCATGTGAAGGGGCAGCATCAATGCTTCAAAGTTTTATCCGACGACCATGGTTCCCTTATAGTAACATGAATCAATTCAAAGCTATAAAAATCTTGGTCCATAATTCAGAACTGCCTCCGATGTCAATGATTTCGTGCCTTCCCTTTTCCCTTTTTATTTTTTTAATTTTTTAAATTTTTTTTTTAAATTTCACCACCACAACTAAAAGTAGTTTTAGGCATCATTTAAGGTCAACAATCAATCACAATGTTTGAATTTCGCCACAACTAAAACTAGATTTTTCAAGTTTTTGAGTGATCAATTCCCGTTAATCCTCCCAAATTTTGATCAAAAGTGATAAATACATCAGCTTTTGCAACAAAATCGATCACATTTTTCGTTCGAAATATTGTTGCGAAATCAATTCCTCATCAACAATCAAACAAGCAGACCTAATGAACTTCAATTTAGGTAAACAAAAAACAAATTCTGAAAATTGTTAAGAAAAAAGTAAATAGTACCTCGACCTCATTGAGCTCTCGAAGCTCCTCCGCCGTCTCGGCACTTAGGGTCTCATGGAGGGAAGCTAAAGGCGCGAACTTGAGGAACCGTACGGACGGCGAGTGAGATGACCGTAGAGAGCTGAGAGTGAGAAACGGCGGCGTGCTGATCGAGCCTTGTCTGCACGAAACGTATGAAGTTTTCGGAGGGTTCGGCGAAACGGTGGCGGGAAGCGGTGCTAACGGTGCTCGTAAAGGTGGATTTCGGAGGACGGTGGCCATTGGAGGAGCTCAGAGCTGGGAGAGATAAGAGTGGCGATATTGAAAACGGGAGTGGAATTAATGATAGTACTGAGAGTGGCTAATTGTTGTGGATAATGAAAACTGACAGATTTTTTTTCCATAAATAACGGGGTGTTTTTGGGCCGTTGGATCTGGGTTCCTTTTTGTGGTCTGATCTGTCGGTTAGGATACCGGCAAGATTCTGGGGCACGACAGCCCTGACCAAACCACTGCTCTAACTGTACTCAAATCATATCCTACGGGAAAAGAGTAACTTACATAAAACAATTTATCGTCATCATCATTCTCTTGGAAGTAACAATTTATGACACGCAATAGATAATTCAAAATGCCAACTTAGTAATAACTCACTCAACCTTATTTGATAATCGGATGGTATAAACCTATTTGCGGCCGACATTTATTGGAAGGTAGGGAGTTGTGCTAAACCAGACAACGAATTATCCATAATTAGGCATTGAATGCGTAGTTGAACCTGAGAACTACCACCGTATGAAGTATTAGCTTGCATCCACAACTACGAAAATCATAGTCTGCTCCGGAGTATCATATACACTATGCGTTTGGGCCTAAAGATCATGGTCATTGGATATTTGACCAAGAATCTAACAGCCGAAAACCCTTGTATAGAAGATACCACGAGTCATACTAGAAATATCCCCAGAACAAATAATAGGAACATTCTGCAAATAGAAGTTTCATTTGAAAACTCAACAGAAATGCCAAATATTTATCAAGCATTCTACTAAAAGGATACACACTACATGTACAAATTGTGGAGCAGATCTCCCAATCACTTAGCATCTAAAAAATTACAAAATGTTACTGATTGGTTGCTCCAATATGAAGGCTCGTTTGGAAGTGTTTTAAAGTGACTAAAAGCGTTTTGGTGGAATTGATTTTAGGTTCCAAAAGTAGTTTAAGAGCTTTTTGGAAGAAGCACCAAATAAGTACTTCTTGCAATAAGTACTTAAAGTGCTTTACTTGGATCTTTACCAGGAATTGGTTTCAAAAACATTTTCACCAAAAATACTTATAGTCATTTTAAAAGTACTTTCAAGCGAGCCCTTAACCAAAATAACTAACCTTTATTCACAAGGGACTTAATGCATCTGTGATTTGATCACATCTCCGTTCTTCTTTTCGCATAAATACTTGGGACAATTGCGTTTCCAATGCCCTAACCCGTTGCAATGGTAACAAATGCCTTTCGAAATGTCTACGTTGCTGCCAGCCATACCGAATTGCCATGGGTGTCCACCATTTTCAGACATCACATATGACAGATTTGGCGGTGCATATCCAGGGGTGGGATTTGGTATTGGATGTGGTGCAGGAGCTGATACTGCTGCCCGCTGACGTTTAAATTTAAGCTGTTGTGCTTGAAACTTGGCAGAGCGTTTCCTCCCTCCTTTCTGCTTTTGTTCAACCTTGTGACATGGCGCCAAACTTCCCCAGTTCTCCGTGTGTTTCAACTTATCCTTCAAGTTCTGCAGCTTAGCTAGTTTTGTTTCAATGACTGAGGGCGGGTATGCCGACTCTAGGTTGTAATCTTTAATGCATTGAATCACAGCTCTTAGATCAGCCATAGAGTCGCCTGCAATCTTAATCTGCGATTAAGAGTTATTTAGCCATGATCGATGGATGCATATTTACATTAAGATGATGGTCCCAGCCACATTTATCTATTTACAAAGCAGATATTGTATGTCCAGAGAAGAGCTAAATTACCTTTTCACCAACTAGCTTCGTTTTCGAGGAAAGTGACTGGAAAGAGTTCATCCCAGTATCCACGTGTTCTTTTAAGAGGGGTACTGGGGGAAACTTGTCAATTAAGTTGAAGGTGCAAATTGCTCTAACGGCCTCAATCCGTTGCCTCCTTTCAATAAGAGTCGGTATAGCATCTGCAACACGCAAAGAAAAATTGAAAGATTTCATCAAGCTGCTCCAGATAAGCTTCAAAAGGAGAATTGCTAGAATCCTACCCAAACTCAAATATAATGTAATGTTAGTAAATGCATCAACAAAAGAAAGCATATAATAGAAGAAACTAGCTAGAACATAACAATTACGAAAGGAAAATACATTTTACCAGCGCGGCAAGAACATGAATAAGAGCTTAATACCTTTTTCTAAGAAAAGCATCCCAAAACCAAAACTCAGAAAATAAGTAAGAGCAATGGTAACAACACTAGCCACTATGCGATGCTAATTTTCAAGAAACTTACCAGGGATCTTATCTCCAAAACCAGAACTCCGAATATATTCTAGGGCCTGTTTATTCTGAGAAATCAACCCGAGAGATTTTACTAACACATCTCCATCTAACGGAGAAAACAACTTAGCAATCTGTAAAAATTCATTCTGTATTGAGTGATTCCCACTAAGCTGCTCATTTGATAACTGCTGTAAATTCCTAGCATCTGTCGTGGCTAGTTGAATATTTGGAGAAGAACAAATTGGAAACCCCTGCAAATTCCTAGCATCTGAGGTGGCAGTTAGTTGAAGATTTGGAGAAGAAGAAGTTGCGGCATTCTTTCCCAGTGAAGATTCTGGTTTCTCAGTATTGATAGAGGAACAAAGGTTGCTGCATGCTATTCAATTGTAAAAGACAAGGACAATGAATTACAGGTTAGGGAGTGAATAATTCTGAATTTAACATATCAAAATATAGCCTTATGGGCAGTTGTTATAAAAAAGGGTCGAACGAAACTGTTCACTACTTTCAGCCCAGCAACAAGAAGAAAGTATTCACTTCTTAAAACTATGAAGAAAAAACTGTTTGTAATATAAATATACAACAAGGCCCATCATTGCTTCTAACTACTTATTAAGGTATGTCTACTTAAAAATAGAGAGCATAAAAAGAGAAACTTTCAACAATTTAAATATTTTTATCATTGCTTGCAATGACATCTTAAAGTACATGACTACTTTAGAAAGCTGCTCTAGAATGAAAATGAAGCACGTCCAAAATGGAGTGCGACCAACGCTACTCCACAATGCAAGAACTAGAAGTTTTCTATTTTATCTATTTCCGCAAGGCACTGCATCACCGGTTCAGAATGTTCCTTTATGACATCTATGGGTCATCAATCTTATAATATCACAATGATTTACAGGCCTACGACCCTATCCTGTCCCAGAATTGCATCAATTGTTGCTGATATAGATTTTTACTTATTAACTTAACAAGGATAGGAATATAATAGAAAAAAACCTTATGAATCTTCAAGCGTAGAGAATTCAATCAGAATAAAACTTTAAATTTTTATTTTTACAAGGCATCCAATATACAGAGAGAGTATCATACGAGAAAAGACAATCAGATAGATATATGAATAAGTTAGAAACATTAATAAACCAGGAAAAGTGATTACCAGGTGTCTTATCTTCCATGTCAAGGATCCCATACAATTCATCCGACTGTTTTTCGTGATTAGCAGCTATACTGAGAAGAGATTGAAGCTCCTCCCTATCAGAAATAGAGGTCAAGTCATATGCAGTAACAAGCCACAAAAAACCCAAAACCTCCAACCAATTCTCGGGTGCCACAGTCATCCTAGCTCTCCATTCACCCGCCAACTTCTTCGCTTCTGCTCTCACCTGATCACTAATTTTTGGCGAGACTCTCTTTACCTCCTTTAACAAATGAATACAGCTCCTTCTAATTACACTCAAATCAAAATCAAATTCCCTGTTTTCCACAGTCGAACTTGAAGGGTAAAACCCTTGCATTGCATCAAGAACTAATTTTGCTGGGTCTGATGACAATTGAAGACAGGCTGAAACTTCAACAGAGACTGAATCTGTTCTTCTAAAATACTCATTCATGAAAAACTGCAAGCTCCTACCATCCCTAATGATTCTTGACATGATTGGTTGCACAAAGAGGAGGGACGGAAATGTTATCAGGGAAACGTCCTGATTGTTCAGTCTTCACTTGAGTATGAAGTATATCAGTCTTCTCCTTTGAGTTATTTGTTCGGATATGTTCTTCTTTAGACTTTTCAAATTCTTGTTGCTTCAGTTCAAGCTCTTTGGCCTTTTGTTCAAGCCGCCTCCCACATTCCTGTATCGAGTTGTCGAGTGAATCCAAATGCTTTTCCCGGGAATCCAAATTCTTTTCTTTCAACTGAACATCCTTGAGGCAATCATTGGTCCTCATATCAATCAAATCAAGTTCCTTAGCTTTTGACTCAAATTCTTGTTGCTTTAATTCAAGCTCTTTGGCTTTTTGTTCAAGCCGCCTCCCACATTCCTGTATCGACTTGTCGAGCGAATCCAAATGCTTTTCACGGGAATCCAACTTCTTTTCTTTCAACTGGACATCATTGAGGCAATCATTGACCCTCCTCCCAATCAAATTAAGCTCCTCAGATTTTGATTCAAATTGTTTTTCGGCCTTCTGAACACTTCTTTTAAGTTCCAACTGTTTCAATTCAACTTTACAGTCCCACTCCCCCACTGACTTCTCAAGCTCACACAAATCCTTCTCAATCAAACTGAGTTTCTGCTCTTTCGACTTCACCTCTCTGTCGTATTCCTCAATCAATGTTTGCTGAGCTCTAATTTCGTCGTCTTTCAAATCAAACTCTTTCCATTGCTCCACAACCTTACCCCTAACCGCATTCAACTGCCTCTCCTTCGCCTCGATCTCTTTCGACAATTCTTTCATCCGTTGCTGCATATTATAATACTCCATCTCCTTCCCCTTAACCAATTTCTGTACTTTTCCTAATCTACCTTCTTCAACCGAATACTTTTCGAAAGATAACTTAATAGATTGCAACTGCGACTTACCTTCTTCAACCTCCCGCACAATGCCCTGCAATTCCCTACCTTTCACCGCCATCGCCGAGTCAAATTCCTTCTCTTTCACTTCCAAGTCCGCGAAACGGGACCCAATCTCCTTCTCCCGCTCCAGGAGCCCTACGAATGCGGCATAGAGTGAGTTCCTGACGGAGTCGAAGTGGTCGTCGAGGTCCTTCCAGTTGAGGGTGAATGCGAGTATGGAATCCGCCTGGGCGCGCAGGATCTCGTGGGCTTTGCCAACGCTCCGCTGCTTCGTCTCCGATAGCTTCAACTTCGAAGCTATCTCTTCCATTATTGTCATGCTTCTCCGCAGCTCCGTCGTGGTGGACGCCGTCGTACCAGGAGGGTTTTTTGGTTTTCTCAAAATCCCTAAGAAAGGAGAAAACTTTGTTGCCTGCCCTGCCCAGTATGTGTACCTCGGCTCTCATACATGTACAGGAACAAGATAAAGTCCAAACCGCTCTCATACATGTACAGGAACAAGATAAAGTCCAAACCGGCATGAATGAAGAGAATCGGATTTCGGTACTGATAACTCTGACGAAAAGTTTCTGTTACCGTTACTTTAATAAAAAGATTTCGGTACTATTTATTTTAACGAAAAATCATATTTTTATATTAAAAAATTAATTATGGTAGTATTTATTTTACTTTTATTTTATCCTTATTATTAAAATTCGAAGTTTTCAACTTTTTTTTTTCCATTAGTTTTCCTTTTCTTTATTTTTTGGTATTTGATTATATATTTTAAGAAAAAAATACAAAGGAAAAAGTTAAGAAATGATATAATTTTTATTTCGATATTTTAGTACATGCAAAAACTCAAGAATTATAATTATTTCAATTCATACTTTTTGTAAATAAGTATGTTGTAATGTTTTTTTTTTTTTTTGATTGGGTGCTTACTTGTTACTCTTTCTCTTTAAAAAAAATTAAGAGCGAATTTGAATTTAGGTGCATTTAATTATACTATGTCTTATTTTGCATGCTAATTTTAATTTTGAATTTTAACTATTTAGTACTACTTAGCCGTAAAAATTTGAAAAGTCGTTCGTCTAACAGTTAAGAAATTTGTTGAGTGTGTAACGTTACATATGCATGCCCCACCTTTTTTTTGCTTTTTCTAGAACATACTTATAATCCATTTCCTCTTCTAGCAGCATCAGCGTAACATGACATATGTAAATAAGAACGCACTTAAGAAATCAAACTCTATATGAAAAACACACACGTAAAGTGAGACTACGTACACACAAAGAAATTCTGAAATTTTATTGGGTATTTTAAATGTTTCAAACGGTTAAATATTTATTAAAAATTATAAAAATAAAAAATTAACAGTTAAAACACCCGCAACCCTAAAGCATGAAAGAATTTTTGCAAAACAATAAACACTATCCTAAGATGAAGAACACCACTTGATGATATCAGGTGGCGCCAAAATCGTCAAACTCACCCCACCATATGTTGTAAGTGGAGGAATTGGATCATCTCCTGAGCTTGTGCTCATGGCCTCCTGACTAGCATCATGCGGGTAGTTGAATTTTGATCCAAAAATTACAAATAAAGAATTCTTTTAAAATTATAATAATTATAATTGTTAGATCAAAATTAAACGATTCACATGGCTGGTCAGCAAACTAGTGAGCTTGTGCTCAGGAGAGGAGCCAACTCCGTAAGTGCACCCACGAAATCCCCAATATAAAACCCCTCAAAAACCTTTTTCTGAACGAATGGCTATATTATCACCTGCTCTGCTTCTTCCCCTTCCCCTCTCATCTCCCCCCAAACCCCACCGTTTTGCGTCCTTCAAGCTCGCCGGCAATTCCACCGATGGAGCTCTTCTCGGAGTACAGCTCGCAAAACGGCACCGTCTCGTGTTTGCCAAAGCCGCCTCCTCTGTCTACGCCATCAGAGAAGAGCTCGACACTGTCAATATCGCCGAGGACGTCACGCAGGTTCTGCTCTCATTTTGTTCTTTCTTTTTAGCATTTTTTTTAACTCGCTTTTGCTCAATTTTTAATTTCTTATCAGAATAATCTCTCTAAATGCTAAGAATTTAACTGGGTATTTCTGCAATTTTGGGCACTGTATTGGTATTTGGTTGGATTTCCGGAAGAGTAACGCTAGGTAGACCAACTTTTTAGACCAAATTTGCAAACTATGTGATGTCGCCAATGAAAAATAAGCACGTTGATTAACACTTTGATAATTCAATCATCAGTAACTCGTCATGTGGTTTAAATAGATGGTGTCTCTAGCATTACCCTTCTCGGAAAACTGGACGAGAAATTTAGTGAATTAGACAAAACACCCTGAAAACTTTTATGTTTTATAAAAAAAAAAAAAAAACACTTCAAGAACTCACTTGGAGAAAGAAAACACTTTAACTATCTACTTGTCATTATTAATTCGTTTATAGTTGTGAAATTCTTTTAGTGACCTTCTCCCATTGCAAAGTAAGAATGGTGTTTTTATACAGTATTGGACTTGAAGTGTTTTTCTTTAAACTGTTGGTTCCTGTTGATTAATTGCTACGTAAAGTACTCAAAATCAAGTGATAACAATTTTCACACTCTGGACTATAGCAAGTTAGATTATGGAAATATAACTGTGCACTGTTAGTTGGATTCAATGTTCAAAATCCCCGCTTGTACAATATGGAATTTATTACTTTATTAGGTGATGTTGTCAAGTGTTTTGGCAATAGATTTCTCGTTGTAGTTGCTGACCCGTTTCAGTTTTCACATTTCACAACAATATACGACATTGTCATAATCAGTGAATTTTATGTACATTATGGTTTACATTCTCATCATTTTTGTTGACTTGAATTATGCTGATAAATTATTATAGTTGATCGGGAGCACACCCATGGTATACCTCAACAAAGTTAGCGAAGGTTGTGTGGCAAATATTGCAGCAAAGCTTGAATCTATGGAACCAGTGCCGAAGTGTCAAGGATAGGTAACCTGCTGAATAAGTTGTCATTTTGCTCTGAAATCTTACTATATACTTCTACCGTTATTTGCCAGATTGTTTTTTTTTTAATCTTGTTTGCCATCCTGATTGTAGAAGATTGATACGGTTTAAGGTATATTGAACCATCCTGTTGATGAAACTTTAGTATGTAACTGCCCCATTTGGTAGACTAGTAGTAGTAATCAATTTTTTTTTAAACAAGTATCTTAGCGGGTCAATTATAATTGCCGTGTAACTACAGTTTCCACATCATTAATATTTGCTTGCTGAATGGAGATACATTCCAGATGAACTTATGTTATCTATGCTGATTAACATTTCAGAATTGGCTGTAGCATGATATCTAATGCTGAGAAAAGTGGGTTAATATCTCCTGGGAAGGTGAGCTGATAAGTTTTTATACAAAAAAATTTACTGATAGATCAATGTATTACTTTGTCATCTGAGATGACTGTGCAAGTTACGTGGAGGAAGATGTTTTAGCTTTTGTGAAAAGCCATATTTCTTTTGGGTGGTTTTTTTTTCGTGTTTCTTTCTGTTATACATAAGAATCATACTTCTTTTGTGTTACTATGCAGACTGTATTAGTTGAACCAACTAGTGGAAATACAGGACTTGGTATTGCTTTTGTTGCTGCAACTAAAGGGTATAAACTTATAGTCACCATGCCGGCATCCATAAATATTGAAAGGAGGATTCTTTTACGGGCATTTGGGGCAGAGGTTGTTTTGACGGATCCAGAAAAGGGTTTGAAAGGAGCGTTAGATAAAGCTGGGGAAATTGTTCTCAGCACACCAAATTCATATATGCTTCAACAGTTTGATAATGCTGCGAATGCAGAGGTAATTTCTGTTTTCTCTGGAGGCACTTCAATAATGCTATTGGTCATCCTAAACTGAATCTATATATATATATATATATATATATATATATATATGAATATACACATGTATATCGTAATGTATAATATTCTAATCAGCATTCACATGCATGAACTACAGATCCATTTCGATACTACTGGGCCAGAAATATGGGAGGATACCATTGGTAATGTTGACATATTTGTTGCTGCTATTGGAACTGGTGGTACTGTTACAGGCACTGGCCGTTACCTGAAAATGATGAACAAGGAGATAAAGGTGAGGCTAGTTCATAATGTATAATTTGTTTCATTATCAAATAGATCCTCTCAGATCTCTGTGTCCGGAGCCGACAGGACTAGAGAATCCGGACCACTCAATTTAAATCATGGACCCTCATTAGCCCATCCCACTAGCCTTACACAAAACCAGCCCTTGAACGGCCCAGATTCTCTGGTACGTTGGCTCCAGACACAGAGATCCGGAGAGGATCTGAATTCATAGCAACAATTGATTTTATAAGTTATGGAACATAGTCATTTGAGTTATAGGAAAAAATCAATCTTAAATGCACATTCTGGATACTATTAGTCGTATTTTATACTATACTATCATTGACACTGGATTTGAGAGGAAAGAGATAAACCCAAGTATTAGCAGACATTGAAGGTGGAACAACTTAGCACCTCTAGATTATGAATGAGTGCCTGCTTGCTCTTATTTGGCTTTGATCAGTGGAAATTAGTGGGACTGCAGCTTTATGGTTAATGTGTTTTTAATTCTGGATTACATGCTTTTGTAATTTTGATTATCCAGGTAGTAGGTGTGGAACCTGCAGAGAGGAGTGTAATATCTGGAGAAAATCCAGGTGAAAGCACTGTTGCTCTTCGGTTTTAATTACATCAATTTTCTGTTGCAGTTTCTTATTCAATAATATGGTATGCTTGACTGAATAATTATGTGAGTAATTCATGCAGGTTATGTACCAAGCATTTTGGACGTTAATTTACTTGATGAGGTCATCAAGGTAAATTGATTTGTGTTGTCTCTTAGTTATTAGTAGTAATATTGTTGTTATTGTTTTTTGCCTTTAGATATATTGAATAAAACTCTAGTCTCCCTTTTGTTTCTCTTCCTCGCCCCTTTTCTTTCTTTCTCCACTCTTCCTCCCTCGATCTTGTCTATTCTGCTCATTTTTTTTTTCTTCTCTCTTTCCTCTCAACTGGCACTGAGTGCATCATAAAGCCAGTCTACTGGGATAAGTATTTTGGGTCACTTTGGTATTGATTTTGCTATGTGGATCAGCCTGTAGGCATTCTATCCTGCAATTTATCAGCTTGTCGATAACCTGTTTTTTTTTTTTTTTTTTTTTGAATTTTTTTTTCTCGGGGTAATCTTGCTTCTCACTTGTCAGTTGGAGATACATGTGATAAATTTCTTTAATCATTTT